ATGCCAAATTTCCGCCATTTTGAACTTTGACCGGCCGCCATTTTGTCAAAAATGAACAATTTGACCTGCGGTTTGCGCCAAAAATTTCCTTTTTTTATTATCTTTCGAATGAGGTATCACAAAGGGGGGGTTGCTATTTGAAAAAAAAAAAGTTGCCCCCCGCCCTCCCCTAGGGGGGCCCCCAAAAAATTTTGGGGAGTGCCAAAAAGTAGCTTACTTTGACCCAAGAACATCCCCCAAAATTCGTTTTTCTACGTGTAGCCATTTAAAAAATAAGCAGCCGTCCCGGGACTTTTGCCGCACCCTGTATATAAGAAAAGTAAATGAACTGATTGGAGGATGCCTGAACAGTTAAGCAATCCTCGAATGTCAATTTCACTCCTCCGTTTTTTTAAAAAGCTAATTCCGAAGATCCCTAGCCCTTGGCTACATTTCGGCCCCGTTGGAGCCCCTGATAAAGAAACGAGGGACCCGTGTGTGCAATCTCTGATGAGCCGTGAGACTTATTAGACCATGTGCTAACCGTGGCTCATACAGAAATCCTTTTGCACTTACAGAAATCATTTTACCCTTCTCTCCCTCGTACACCACACCTCTGTCCGGAGACCGAGGCAGTATCCATTGTTCCTCGCGAGCGACCCGACCCAAACATATTTGATCGTAGAGAAAGAAACAAAGCAGGAAAATTTACCAAATGGGCCTGTTGCAAACTTTTGCTAGCGCAAAAATAAGAGTTGTTTCTTGTAGAGAATGCCTCAAAAATCACGATGAGTGCATCGGCAAAGTCTGAAACGCACTCATAACTTCACAATCTGCGTAAGAAATTTGCGTTTTTTTAAGCTTCCCGCTTCAAAAACGATACTACGGCACAGGTGAACATTTTGTTAGAGGAGTCGCTCCATCGTCGGCGATATTCATCATGGCCGACGCTTGCGCGCAGTTCCGCGCGTAATTCGAGGAGAGTTCAAGGTCAATCAATTCGGGCGTGGAAAATATGAACGTTAACACACCGATTGTTATCTGGTCTAATCCAGTTCAGATGTTATCTCGTCCCATCAAACGTGTTTTGGCGGATTGGCGTCGGCCATTATGATTATTGCCGACGATGGAACGACTCCTCTTACAAAATGTTCACCTGTGCCGTAGTATCGTTTTTGAAGCGGGAAGCTCAAAAAACCGCAAATTTCTTACGCAGACTGTGAAGTTATGAGTGCATTTCAGACTTTGCTGATGCGCTCATCGTGATTTTCGAGGTATTATCTATAAGAAACAACTCTTATTTTTGCTCTAGCAAAAGTTTGCAACACGCCCATTGTAAGCACTTTTGTGCAAGAATCACAGAAATGACTTCAAACTAATTTTAAGGGGGGTTTCGGACCCCCAAATTCGCCAGTTTAAAGGTCTTACGATTTTCCCGCGATTTGAGCCAATTTCACCTTACTTTGCCTCAACCTTATCTTGGTAAGTTCAAAATTAGTCCAACATTGCGTTTTCAAGTCCCTAAATTTCGGGTAAAATTCGAGAATCAAAATTTAAGATATTCAATTCAACCGTTTACATTTCGCTTTTTAGAGATTAAGGCCGAGTGGAATCCGTCTCTACAGATCCACTCGTCAGTTGCAAGAACATTTGTCGCCACCGCCGGGATTCGAATCCGGGACCTATTCAACCACAGTCAGACGCGCTGACCACGAGGCTAACCTGGCCGGCCGGAATTTCTTATTCTCTCCATACCATACGGTACCCCTAAATATTTCGCTCGTTCGCAAATTTTGCTCACAATATTCGAAATTTTTTCTGTTCAGGATTCTACATGGATCAATCCGAATTCAAATGCACATCCGAAGGAGGACTTAGCGCTCCTGCAGACAGGATCCCAGAGATTTCTACAGGCAGAATAAGTGTGAAGGATTCACAGGACATTATCCCGGAGGTTGGTAACACTATATTCATGAAGTGTGAGTTAACTGAACCGGAAGCAGAATTTGCATTTGACACGGAATTTGCCTCTCATACACCTTACCATGTGAAAACTGAAATTGGAACTTCTCCAAGTGAAGAAAAAAAGTCTGTTCAACACTTCAATAGCGCCTCGTGTTCCTCCAATTCTATCATCGGTCATTCCATCAGGATAAAATCGGAAGGAGACAATGAAAATGAAAATTGGATCGACCAGTTACATACCAGTATTGAGATTAAAAACGAAGACCCTCCTAAGACTGACAGCTATGAATGCACTTACGTAAAGGAAGATAGAGAACACGATTTTGAAAATGAGATTCAAAATCATATGCCAACCACGATATGCAAACCGCTCAGTCGCAATCGTTGCTCGGCCGGTTTTGCGATAGAAGGTACTTTAAAAACACACATGCGAACACATACCGGTGAGAAACCATTTGCTTGCAGAAATTGCTCGGCTTGTTTCGCTAAAAAAGGAAATTTAATACAACACATGCGAACACATACCGGTGAGAAACCATTTACTTGCAGCCAGTGCTCGGCCACTTTTGCTCAGAAAGAACATTTAAAAAGCCACATGCGAACACATACCGGTGAAAAACCATTCACTTGCAGCCATTGCTCGGCTTGTTTCGCTAAAAAAGGAAATTTGAAACAACACATGCGAACACATACCGGTGAGAAACCATTCAGATGCAGCCAATGCTCGGTCTGTTTCGCTCAAAAAGGAACGTTATTAAATCACATGCGAACACATACCGGTGAGAAACCATTCAGATGCAGCCATTGCTCGGTCTGCTTCACTGAAAAAGGAACTTTAAAACGGCACATGCGAACACATACCGGTGAGAAACCATTTACTTGCAGCCATTGCTCGGACTGCTTCGCTCTAAACGCACATTTAATACGGCACATGCGAACACATACCGGTGAGAAACCATTTACTTGCAGCCAGTGCTCGGCTTGTTTCGCTGGAAAAGAAGATTTAAAACAACACTTGCGAACACATACTGGTGAGAAACCATTTACTTGCAGCCATTGCTCGGACTGCTTCGCTCAAAACGCACATTTAATACAGCACATGCGAACACATACCGGTGAGAAACCATTCAGATGCAGCCAATGCTCGGTCTGTTTCGCTCAAAAAGGAACGTTATTAAATCACATGCGAAGACATACCGGTGAGAAACCATTCAGATATTCAGATGCAGCCATTGCTCGGTCTGCTTCACTGAAAAAGGAACTTTAAAACGGCACATGCGAACACATACCGGTGAGAAACCATTTACTTGCAGCCAGTGCTCGGCTTGTTTCGCTGGAAAAGAAAATTTAAAACAACACTTGCGAACACATACTGGTGAGAAACCATTTACTTGCAGCCATTGCTCGGACTGCTTCGCTCTAAAAGGAACGTTATTAAATCACATGCGAACACATAGGTACCGGTGAAAAACCATTTACTTGCAGCCAGTGCTCGGCTTGTTTCGCTAAAAAAGGAAATTTAAAACAACACATGCGAACACATACCGGTGAGAAACCATTCAGATGCAGCCAATGCTCGGTCTGTTTCGCTCAAAAAGGAACGTTATTAAATCACATGCGAACACATATCGGTGCGAAACCATTTACTTGCAGCCAGTGCTCGGTTTGTTTCGCTGGAAAAGGAGATTTAAAACAACACTTGCGAACACATACTGGTGGCAAACCATATATTTGCAGCCATTGCTCGGCTTGTTTCGCTCTAAAAGGAAATTTAATACCACACATGCGAACACATACCGGTGAGAAATCATTTACTTGCAACCATTGCTCGGTCTGCTTCACTCGAAAAGGAAGTTTAATACGACACATGCGAACACGTACTGTTGAGGAACCATTAATTACTTGTAGCTATCGCCCTGCACGTTTTGCTGAGTGAGGTAGTTTAAAACGACACATGTGAACAAACTCCGGAGAGAGACCATTTACTTGCATTGATTGCTAGGCCGGTTTTGCTCAAAAATAATATATAATTCGGCATGTGAGCACGTTCTGGTTAGAAATCATTTTGTTGCAGCCATTGCTCAGTGTGTTTCGCTGAAATAGGAAATTTAATTTAATACATACGAACAAGTACGAGTAACAATTTTTTTAGTTACAGCCGTTGCTCGGCTTTCTTTGCTCAAAAAGGTAATTTTATATAATAAATGTGAACACATGTGATTCTGAAACTGAACAGGTGTACGTATTTTTCTGCCTATTTTTATCACACGAGTCGTTTAAAGTATCCTGTCTGAACGTATAGCGGTGAGAAACTTTTCTGCTGCAGTCTTTGATTCGTTTCCTTTATTGTAACTGGTCTTTGACTAAACATATGAATAAGAACACTTATTGTCGAGCGACCTTGTGGCTGTTGTTAATTCCATGCACCTTTTCCCGAAAAAGCCATCTGAAGTAAGATGTGAAATCGCTTTTTAGGGACAAATCCCACACTCACAGTCATTACAAGTCGTCCGGCCTCACAAAAGCCATTTAATGATTCACTTGTAAACTCATACGGGCTGGAAAACATTTCGTGGTAATTTTTTCCTGTTTCTATTGTAAATTAGACACCCTCGATGAGGACTTCATCGGAAGGCAGCGCTGTGCTGAATATGTTAGTACT